TACAGAGTGTTCCATTTGAAAAATCAAAGTTGCTACTGCTTTCTAATAGAAGCGGCAACACCGCATTGTCGAAAATATTTTAGTTGGCTAGAGAATGTCCGAATATGCCCTCCATTAAATTTTCAAAGTGATCCGTTGTCTGTTTCACCAGAAACGTCTAATGTGCCATCCACCGTGAATCAGCCTGTATAAGTTAATAGTTAATGCATTTGATATAGAACGTCTGTAAGATATGAACATTGGGGCACGATATTTGTATTCAAAAATTCGAAGATTGATCTCTCACATAAGAATTTTACTAACCTTACTAATATAGTCTATACATTAAGTACCTGCAGAACGGGTACATATTGTATATATAAATAAATCCTTGAAATCTGTTTTTTCTAGGGTGTGATGGTCCGTCTAATGTTAGTCCTAGCTCCTGTGATGTGTATTCTCAGTGGCATTACAATATCACATCTACTCACCAAATTCATGAAGAATACCGATCTTCCCAAACAAGTTGAACATAAAAAACATCACAAGAAAATGGAAGCAAACACTACACTGAAAAATGAAATTTCTACATTGTTTGTGACAGTAGTAACCATTCTTTTGATATCCTATACATTCCACTGCACATGGGTTACTTCTGAAGCTTACAGTTCACCTAGTATCGTTCTTAGTGCCAGGTCCCATGATGGAGGAAGAATAATTTTTGATGATTTCAGAGAAGCTTATTATTGGTAAGTTCTACATATAACTTTGTAGGGTGGGTTGTTGCGGACATCAAGGTGGGAAACTTGTACCTGGAACAACCGACAAATTTCAGGTATGCACATTTTAGCCTGAATGGCTACATGTTATCTAAGAGTACCAGTTGAGTGTCTCTGACAGATGGATGCAGTTAGTATCATGCAGACAAAGGAGGGCGTGTTACTGAAATGCATCGCAGCATACCTTCTCTCCAAATTATACATTTGGGTTTCTTACCTTTAGTCAGTCACAGACTGACTAAACTAAGAAAACTAAACTGAGAAAACTATTAATAGAATAGGTTAATAGAAAAAAAAAATATCTCAAAAAATATACAAAAGTACAGGTGCATTGAGCACTACCATCAGTTTGCTGACCTCCGAAATAGGTGTAAAGAACTTCAGAAGCAAAATGCCATGAATTTTACATTAAAAAAATCGAAAATGCTATTTCAAATGATTCTCGAAGCTTTTGGAAATATACAAATAATAAAAGAAAACCGTATAACTCGCTCCAAATGCATTCCACTGATTTAAGGTTGGTGACACTTGACCATTTTGTAGTACTTCGGAAGCTACTGTTGAACACTTTTGAAATAGTTGTTTAATGCGGTTCAAAAACCTAATCTAACCTAAAACTAGAATATAGCTAGAAAACTGTTGTACACAACTTCGACGAGAAAAGACCATTTGGCCATTTTTTATATTCATTTAATATTATGAAACAATCATCTTACAAAAAAATCACGGTTGCAAGTATTGAATCACTGAAAACATCTCAAATCCCGACCCCCAATGAAAGAATTTTTCGAGTGACATACTCCTTGTTTTCATTTGAAAAGAGTGTTTATATGGATATTTTTTTTATTCAATAGTATGTTATTTGAAAATTTTGAATTGACTTTGAAATTCAATGCCAAACTTCAGTTGAACTATCAGCTGTTCCAATCAGAAATTTCAAATTAATCAGAAACCAATATTTACCAGACATGCGCGTTGTCAACGATTTACAAACAGTTGGAAATCTGTTTGTGACTCAAGGTTGGAACGAACCTAATAAGAATGAAGAGTGTAGGAATCGTAACTTTTCGTATCCCCTACAAATTTTTAAAATAACTTTTTCATCTAGTACTGTTGACTATAAATCAATACTATTTATGAGCACGATTTCAGTATTATCATGAAAATATAGTTGAGAATTTATTTTGCACAGTTTTCCACAGAATATCTTTTAATTCAATATAAAAATCTTCAGGTTGAAGATGAACACTCCTGAAGATGCCCGCATCATGTCTTGGTGGGATTATGGCTATCAGATAACAGCAATGGCTAATCGAACCATTCTGGTAGATAACAATACTTGGAATAATACGCATATCAGTAGAGTGGGTCAGGCGATGGCCAGTACTGAAGAAAAAGCTTACGAAATAATGAAAGAACTTGATGTTGATTATGTGTTGGTTATTTTTGGTGGACTCACTGGATATTCATCAGATGATATAAATAAATTTTTATGGATGGTTAGAATAGGTATGAATTATTTATTTCAATTGAATTTCCTGTTATTGGATTACTGAATATTTTTTTAGGTGGAAGTACTGATAGAGGAGCACATATCAAAGAATGGGATTATTATTCACCCAGTGGAGAGTTCAGAGTGGACAAGGAAGGTTCTCAAACATTGTTAAACTGTCTAATGTACAAAATGTGTTACTATAGATTTGGACAAGTCTATACTGAAGGTAAATTTAATAATGCAGCTCGATATTTATTCTGCAATACTGCTGTCACCCATGTTATGCTTCAAGGATTGATAATAATGATGAGTATTGGGTTGTTTCAAAAGTTTTGCCTTTTTTTATGAGTCTGCTTTCAACAGTGATATCTCAGTGAATACTTATTCAATTTAATCGAAACAAGCGCCATTTGAATCAGTGTACTTTTGCCAACACAATACCACTCGATTAATTCAGTCAGCATAAAAATTGGTTGCAGAACTTCGACGCCTAATTCGTTTAATTTTTGGACGGTGATTTGTGAAACGTGCGGATGTTCCTTCCATTTCCTCACAATAGAACTCTGCTGTGATGGTTTGGTCTCTTTGCAGAAAGTTATAGTGAATCACACCAGCCACTGTCCACTGTACAGTAACCATTGTTTTTTTTTTTTT